TAAAACCAATTGGTGGAAGGAGGTGTAGCCCATTAGATTTATAAACTACGCCTATTTTTCCTATATAAACGATGTGAGACAACTCACAAGTGAATATTCTAATACGCCCCCTCATTTGTGAGTCCTTCATAAGAAGCTCAAGACCATATACAGAACTAGGTGCCCAAGCCCTACTAGAAACAAGCTCCCATATACGGGTACGTCGGAATAACGGGTACGTCATCGCACGGTCCCCAACAGAACTGGCTCTGATACCATGTAAGAAACGGGGGGAAAAATGAGTACGGTCCCACGCACGTGAAGCGCACCAAAGACAGGGAAAGCCCAGATGAAGCCCAAGTGGGGTTCCATCCCAAAACTTATTGGTGGAAGCAGGAGTAACCCATTAGACTTATAAATTAGGCCTATTTTCACTATATAAACGATGTGGAACAACTCACAAGTTAATATTCTAATAGCGTCAACGAAAAATAGTCCGACTACATATTGAAGGAAATGCACGAGGGGGTGTGCGACAGTCATTCCAGAGGTCAAGCTTTAGCACATATGATTCTAAAGCAAGGATAATATTACTAGTCCACACTAAAAAAAGAAGCAACGGACCTTGTTCGAAATGCGAGGAAAAATTTCAGATTTTGCACCGAATATAACTCAACCCTCACAACCCCTGAAGTCAATTTTTAACCCTGGCCATTTGCAAAATCATGAATAGATTTGATTGGACCCATGTCGACCGAAAAATGGAGAGTCAAATATGCAGTGGTGGCCATTGACTACTTTACAAAGTGGGTGGAGGCCGAACCCTTGGTCTCATCATCGAGAAGAAAATGATCGAATGTTTATGGAAATCGATCGTGTGCCGATTAGGAATCCCATATTCAATATTCACCGATAACGCGAGACAATTGAAGAAAAGAGACTCGAGTCTTTTTGCGAAGAGCTCGGTATCAAGCATTGTTTCTCCTACCCATATCATCCATAATTGAACAGACAAGAGGAGGCCGTAAATAAAATTATTAAGGAAAGCCTTAAAACCAAGCTCGAGTCAGCCAAAGGGGTCTGGTTCGAAAAACTTCTGAGTGTGTTGTGGTCCTATCGAACTACAGCTCGTTCATCCACAGGAGAAACCCCATTCTCCTTAGCTTACGGGTCAAAAGACATGGTTCCCATCGAGATCGACTCCCCAACATATCGGGTCAAGAATTTTAAAGAATGAGCCAATTCGGAATCTCTGAGAACAAGTCTCGACCTCATCGTAGAGCTCCGTTCACAAGCCGAGCCAAAAACTGCAGCGTACAAATATTCGATTAGGTTGTTTATCAGGTCTAGTCGACCCGGTATGATATTCCATATCATCTAGTTCCCCCTACTCTAGTCGAGTTAAGGTAACTCGATCTGAGAGTAAATTAAACTGTCCTTGGTACTAGTAAGCTAGTCAGCTCATCCTTTGTTTCCGTGATCCCCTTGTGTATATTTGATCTTTTTTCGAAGCTCCTTTATCAAAATTCAAATTTCGAATGCACGCTAGCTATATTGCGTCAACTCAAACTCCATGTCCGATGGAGCTTCGCAATCCATGCTGTCTCCGTGCAGTGCGCCTATTTAATGAAGAATTAATACCACCCGTTCGATTATCCTTTTAATCCGACGATCAGTTTCGGCCTGTCCTTTCAACTGCTTCTTTTGATCTTGGCCATTAAATTCGGCCTTGATCCAACGGTTGAGGCCAATCGACCCCTTGACCTTCAGTCTCCCTTCAATATAAGATAAACATTTTTCGATTTCACGAGGTTTTTTCACCTTCGCGAATAATTAATACTGGTTAAAACCATCAACAATAGACGTACTCCTCTTTAATTAAGTTGAAATTCATATTAACTGAAATGTTTATCTTTTCTCATCCAACTAGAAATAGTAAGTGCATGCTTGGATACAAAATTTTTTCAACATAATCCAATCATTTTAACCAATAATTTTTTCTAACTCAACTTGAACTCAACTACACAATTCTCAATATTATCAATATAATTAAATAATTTCACTCAATTATTTTCACATTACATTAATTTTAATTCACTATTCATCTACTCACACAATTTAAACTAATTTCATCTCTTCACATCATCTCTATTCTATTTTACATCAAACTAACTTTAATTATTTTATTTTAAATACTATTTAAATATAAATTTAAATTGCACTAACAACTAACCATACAACTTTTTTAAAATTAAACAAGCCAAACCAAAAAATTCAAATAAAATCAAAACATCTTATATCAAATCATCAAATNACATAATATTAAAACTCAGAAATCAGTACATCCGGCAGTCAACTGACCGATATAAATCCACAAGGATACAATCATCTGCTCCCTTACAACATGGCTATCCATGCTAAACGAAGATGAAGAAAAAAAACAACTAACAAACTTAGGAATCCAAACAGAAATTTACAAAAGAAAAACTAGACATAAGTGCATATATATCTTCAGCAACAGCACTGCAAGAGGGATCAAACTTCATTTTCTTGTTGAGTTTTAGCCACCACTGCCTTGTCCTTCAAGAGGAAACTCACTGAGTTCTACCCTGCGTTTTGCATATTGGCCCATCTGGTTGCAGTTTGCATAAGTCCATCCGCATTTCCAGAAAGATAAATTTGATCCCTGAAAGAGACACTGGCTTCCTTATTATTACTTGTGAATCCTCAATTGTGTATGCAATGATCTCATTCACCAACTTTGGAAGAAATTAAGGTGAATCATATATACGTAGATATGACGTCGGATCGAATTACTCAATCTTAATTTCTCGATCGAATTATGACGTCGGATCGAATTATTCAATTGTGTATGCAATGATCTCATTTCTTTATTTATTTTTTTCCTTCTCGATTCCACAAACGGAGACGCCACTTATTAGTCAAATCTCATAATTGAAGGTTTAGGAGTTGGGACTGTTGAACCATATTGAATTACTTGAAAATGATTATAAAGGAATATTCGTAAATGTCGGCACCTCCTTTTTTTTTTTTGGTAAATNAATAATTATTGTAAATAATAATAATAATAATAATAATAATAATAATAAATCTTTTATTTCATCAACTAATTGGTAATCACCTTAAACAAAAATTAAAAATTAACCAATTTTTTTAATTATCATTAAACTAACAAAAGTCTTATACACCTCCTTGTAAAACTCCTCGCCCGCTTCAATTCCGTCTGCAAGCCTTGGCGCCTCCGCCTCTTATCTTCGCCGGAATTCCTCAAATCGTAGCACGCCCACCTAGGGGTGAGCAACGACGCGGTTCGGTGAAAAACCGCATCGAACTGCAAAAAACCAAAAATTGAACCTAGCAAAAAATAACTGAACCGCACCGCAACTTAAAAAAACCAAACCAATTTTTTTTTTTTTACATTAAAGAGAGTGTATTCAATTGGGATTTCAAGTGACATTTTGAGACTTTTTAAAATTTGAGATTTGTTAAAATTTCCAGATTTTGGAGAAATTCTGTGAAATCTTAAGTCTGGAGGTGAGATTTGATATAGGATTTCGTATAAGGTTTTTTGTTTAGAAATCCCACCAAATCTTAAAAAGTCTTAACAAATCTTAGTGTCAAATAGATTAAATACCTCAGGATTTTGTAAGACTTTTTAAAATCCCAATTGAATACCCTAGGATTCTTAAAAGTCTTAAAAAGTCTTAACAAATCTAAATTGAATACATTAGGATTTCTAAATTTTAAAGTCCTTAGAAATCCCAATTGAATACACCCTCCTAAAATAACCAAACCGAGTTGCACCAAAATGCACGGTTTGGCTCAGTTTTCGGTTTTATCTCGATTTTTCTATATATTTTATTCAATTTGGTGCGGTTTGGTGTAAAATCACACGAACCAAACAAAATCGAAAACCGAACTTATGAAAAACTATAACCGCATCGCACCGCAATGTAAGGAAAAATCGAACCTGAAATTTTTTACTTTAAAAAAACTGAAAACTGCACTGAATTACACGGCTCGACTCGATTTTTTGGTTTCGGCGCGATTTTACTAACTCCTACGCCCACCTCCCATGTGACCTAAAAAATGAATCTCTTTTAGCTGACACGACCAGCAAACTCCGCACCAACTCTATCTACCTCTTTGGGTCCCGTCAGCATCGTCGGGTCCTACCACAATCTACCTTGCCGCCTTGCTGCACGGCCAAAAGTTCATCCTATTGAACCCCACCGCTCCGGCCCGAGCCGGAGAGTCTCCCTTGGGTTTGGCTACTCCTTCTCCACCATTCTCATGTGCCTTCCTGGAAAACCCCTCCCCTTTTTTTGAATTTGTCTGCAAGCCATGACATCGTCGCTTCTACTCGCCGGAATTAGTCAAATTGCACCATGCCAACCTCAACTTCGACCCCAAGAACGAGTCTTTCTTGCTCCACCCCACCAAACCACAAACGCCGCCGCCGCAACACGAACTCCATCTCCCTCTTCAACCTCCACTCGGTCCTCAAAACTCTGAAGGCCCCCTGCCACCCCTTTTCCCACACAAAATTTCCTGTCGATATCGTTAGAGGCGCTTCAATTTCTTTAGATTTTGGGATATGAATCTATTTGAGGGTCGTTCTAATATCTTAGTTCTGCTGGTTTAGAACACTTTGGTAATACTGACATCCATGTAGGATAAACTGGGGTAAGTCAACAACAACCGACGAATTTCGATAACTGTTAGGTAAATCAAATATAAATTTCGTGTTTTACCAAGTTATTGTTCTAATTCGTCGAATAAGAAAAGAAGGTTTCTATATGTGCCACACAGAGTACACGACACATGTTATAAGACATATTTTTCATGATCCCTCCAACAACTTTTTTTAAAATTAATACACTATATTCAATAAAATATAATCAAATTCAAAACAACTTATATCCAATAACACGTTTAGTAAATCTAAGGTAGACTTATAAAGCCGGAGATGACTTTATTATATTTCAGTAACAATTTTTTCTCCATAATGATTATTACATGTTTTTCTATAAATAAACACGCCTATTGACTTTTTTTTTTCTCCAGTCAAATTTCATTATTCAAGGTGTACGACTATTGGATCTTTTCTTTTTATAAACCTCACTACCATTCCTCAATACTTTCACAATACCCCCAAATGGAGCCCTTACTCTTATACTACTTATTATATTGCTTTTCCCTCCTCGCCTTTCTCTACGTCCTCGTCCCCCTTTTCCTCCGAAAACTCAGCAATCTTCCCCCGTCCCCTCCGATTTCCCTCCCAATCATCGGCCATCTCTACCTCCTCAACCCGCCTCTCCACCGTACCTTATCCAAAATATCCCGCAAATTCGGCCCCGTCTTGCTTCTACACTTCGGCTCCCGCCCTGTCCTCCTCGTCTCCTCCCCTTCCTCCGCCGAGGAATGCCTATCCACCAACGACGTGGCCTTCGCAGGCCGCCCTCGGCTCCTCGCCGGAAAGATCCTCGGCTACGACTACACCACCCTCGTGTGGGCCCCTTACGGCGACTGGTGGCGTACTCTCCGGCGCGTGGCCACCACGCAGATCCTCTCGGCCCACCGAATCCGCTCGTTCGGGGACACGCGCGCCGACGAGATCCGCCGCCTCGTCGGCCGTCTCTCGGCGGCGGCTCCGGCGGCGGATGTGAGGACGGCCGTGTTCGAGATGGTGCTCAATGTCATGATGCGTATGATTGCTGGGAAAAGGTACTGTGATGATGGTTCGGGTGATTTATCGGGGGAAGCTAAGGAGTTTAAGGAGATATTGAGGGAGATTTTTGAGGTGAGTGGGGCGACCAATGTCGGTGATTTCTTGCCGGTGTTGAAATGGTTGGGTGTGAATGGGTTGGAGAAGAGGCTGAAGAAGCTGCAGGTGAGGAGGGATTGTTTCTTGCAGAATTTGATAGATGAACGGAGGAGAAAGACGAAGATTGTGAAAGGCCGGGAAAAGGACCTGACTTTGATTGATGTTCTTTTGGCCCATCAAGAGACAGATCCGGAGGTGTACACTGACGAATACGTCAAAGGCACAATTCAGGTATTTTGATTTCGAGGTTTTGAATTTATATTAAAATAATATTTAAAATAAAATAATTAAAAATGATTTGATGGAAAAATAATATGAGAAATGTGATTGAAAACGACAGGTATTAAAATTATGTGAGTGAGATAATAGTGAATTAAATTTGATGTGATGTGTGAAGATGATTGATATTGATATAATGATATTATTTAATTATATTGATAATATTAAGAAGAGTTGAATTAATTTTGAGTTAGTTGTTTGAGTTAAAATAAAAGTGATTGATCAAATTTGTATCCAAGCAGACACTTAAAAATGGTTGATGAATAATATTTTAGAGGCTCTACATGTAGAGTTGTTCGACCAAAGAAATAAATTTTTTCCCCACATATTTTAGGTGATGCTAGCAGCTGGGACAGATACTTCAGCAGTAACAATCGAGTGGGCGATGTCGCTTTTACTCAATCATTCAGAGGTTTTAATCCGAGCACAAGCCGAAATCGACTCCACAATAGGACACTCTAGACTTGTCGACGACTCAGACCTACCAAATCTACCTTATCTCCACGCAATCATAAACGAAACCCTTCGTATGTACCCGGCTGGTCCCCTGCTTGTCCCACATGAGGCCTCAACCGATTGTGCTGTCGGGGGATATCGGGTCCCACGAGGTACGATGCTACTTGTGAACGTATGGGCCATACAGAATGATCCTAATCTGTGGGACGAACCAAGAGCGTTTAATCCCGACAGGTTTACGAATAATCTCCAAGGGCAAAAAAGGGATGGATTCAAGTTCATGCCATTTGGTTATGGGAGAAGAGGGTGTCCGGGTGAGAATCTCGCTATGCATGTCGTGGGCTTGGCACTCGCATCCCTCATTCAATGCTTGGAGTGGGAAAGAGTTGGACCGGAGAAGGTGGATATGAACGAAGGTCGGGGACTCACAATGCCTAAGGCTCAGCCACTCGTGGCGAAATGTAGGTTGCGTCGTGAGATGTGGGGACTAATTGACAACTATAAGTGTTGAACTATTGTGTTTTTGATTGCTTTTATTTACGAAAAATTCTACGGTCCCGTTACGCGTTAAGGGAACCATCTCATTACTTTTCAACCAACTAAATTCTACTCACTTGTTTTGTCTATATATATAATTGTTGGCAAACTTCAATAAATTTTATTCATCCAACAATTAATAATAATATGAGTTCATTTAATTAAAATAGGTGTTCATTTAATAAAATATATTCACCATTTAACAAAAATATGTAACTTTCAGTTACACAATTTATTTTCACATGTCTAATTTCGGATGGTGCTCATTTCTGTAACGCCTTTCATGGCCTGAAATACAAAATATTTTTTTTATACTATATATTTTTTGGTGTTATATAAATACATATTTCACTACTAATTAAGAATGACTACAAATATTTTTATTTTCTATTGCAGTCATACTAATAAAAAAATGTTTTTTGGATATTATAAAGATATATCAAATATTTTGAAAAATTAAATCCCAGAGTCACGAGTTGAAGGGGTTTAACAATAATAATTTGTTGAGATAAAGATTTTGACGATACGAAAACCACGGATGTTGTATATAAAGAAGTGTTAATAATATTTGGATCCACTTTTTTAAATTATTTTTTTTCTCATTTATTAAGTTATGATTTTTTATTTTAATCTATATTTTTAATTATTTTCTCTTCTATCATATCGTTTTTCGTGTAAATGCACGGGATAAAATTAGTTGCGAAATGCTACATGTACATAATAGTGTACATAGGGGTGTGTATATATCACTCACATTGAGTGGGACCTACCAAAAATAAAAAATCAAGTAGACTGCATTCCATGTGAGTGTTATGTACACTTCTATGTACATGTAGCATTTTTCAAATTATACATTTATTATGTACATGTATCATTTTCAAAATTGGGAAAATTCTAGTATATGGCTCAACTTTTAGGTATTCTATCATATTAAGGCCCCAATTTATATCTTTTCTACAAGATCTCAAATTTTATATATTTTCAATTGAGGGCTCATATTTATCTGTTAACTCTTAAATTAAGGTTCATTACTAACACTGTTACTTAACAGTTAAATTAAACATGATATTATTTTTTTCCTTATTTTTTAAGAGAAGATCAGACGAGTTCTTTACTTTTTCTCTTTTTCTCTCTCGAAACAGATCTCTTTTTCTCTCTCAAAACCTAAGTCATCTCAATTTCAATCCACGTTACTCTCAAAACCTCCGATTGCGAGCAAAGGAAGGATTAGCTCAGGTAAAGCCTTCCGGAAATTGCAGCGAGTGATGTGTTTCACTTTATGAAATTTGAACTTCGAATTGCAGCGAGTGATGTGTTTCACTTCATGAGATTTGAACTTCGAATTTATTTTTTCATGTTTAATTTGTCTTGATGGACAACAATAAAGTCGTGATTTTGGATATCCGGTTGCCGCTGTACCGGCTGGCGTGCTGGAGAGGCACACAGGCAACGTGAATGCCATCTCGTGGGCCCCGCAGAGCTGAGGCTCATATGCTCCGCGAGGGACGACGGGCGGGCCGTGTTGTGAGAGCTGCCCACGGTTGCCGGATCCAATGGGATTGATCCGATGTTTTTGTACTAGACGGTTGGAGGGTAAAACTTTTGCAGAGGGTATTGTTGTTTCACATTTTGGAGATGGGAGTGTATATGAAGTTGGGCCTTAAAACAAGTATATGTGTTTGGGAAATTTGCTGTGTTGTTTTTCATATGTATTTCAGGCTTACTGCTTTTCTTCATTTCTGACTGGTAATATGCAAGTGCATTGTTGCTTTGTTAATCAAAACTTCTTTCTTTATCTTCTGTTTTGTATATACATTTTTTACTTTGGTTTCAAATTAATGGTGACTCTTGACTGTACATATATTGTATATGTGTGTGTGGTTTTATTATTCTTTCTGGTGTAATTTCGTTATGGAATTTGTGTTGAGTAAATTGGTAGAGGGTTATTATACATATACAGCTTGAAGTTTCAAAGACAAAGAAAAAAAAAAATGGAGGACTTGTAAAGAGGAACTTAATAACCATACTGCATACATATGCCAAACATGCATCTGAATAAATTTAAAAGTCTTGGAAAGGAATTCTAACTATGAGGGGGAAATTGATGAGAAGATACAGACCTCAAGGAGTTGCTTGTAACACTTTTTACTTGGATTTTCTATTTTTCTATGCAATAAGCACAAGACTGATAAGTAAAATAGAAAGTAATCTAGAAAATAAAGGACACATAACTATGAAAATATTGATTGATTATGCATTCACTATAGAAAAGGGAACACAACAAACATGGCAATATCCTCTATCTCCAGTACTTCATTTGCTTCAACATACCCTGTCTGCTGCAAGATACTGAGCCATCATAACATCACAAGAATCAACCAACTTATGACACAAATACCAGTCATTCATGATTCAAAAAAAAATAAAAAATAGATTGTTAGTGACTGATTGAATAAATTCTCCAAGACATGCATATATGTCAACCTTATTCCAAAAAAAATAAAAAATAAAAGCTAACTATAATTTGAGCGGTTAACGATTTTAAACTAGTTCATTGATAAGAAACCATACGTAATAAATAAAAAGTTGTTCATTGTAGAAGAAACGTTAACCTAGTTCATTGATAAGAGACCATACGTAATAAATAAAAAGTTGTTCATTGTAGAAGAATTAAAACATATCGAAGTTCAGTTCATACCATAATAAAAAAAAAAAAAATCTAGCCAAATAAAAATGATGGACTCCAGTCTGTTGCAACCCCTTCTCCGTTGAATGATGCTAATTGCGGTTCTGAACTTGTGGGATCCCAGTTGACATGCTCTTCATTACAGAAAGTAGGTTTCGGTAGACTACCGGCTCCTCTTGATGGCTCTCCCTGCCAAGTATAACTTAATTACTAAATCTCAACATATAATAAATAAATGTTCTAAGAAATTTAAGCTCACCTCCTGGTTATCCCTTGGAGTTTTACAAGTTCTTTTGTTATGACCAAGTTCGCCACAATTTTTAGCTTTATGATATTTTTCTATCTTCAATCGGGTCCTTTCCTCTCAATTTCTTCGGTCGACCAGCAGGCCTTGTATAACGAGGGGATAAAACAGGTTCGCGATCACTTTTAGGCCAAAAGTGAGGACCTGTCATAGATATATGCAATAAGCATACGTCTTCAGAAAGGTCTCTTTTTTGAAGTACTCACTTACATAATCTTCATGTTTTCCTCCAATGTTATCTACTGCAGCCATGGCATGCTTGCAAGGAATGCCCGATATGTCCCATATTCTACAAGTACATGTCTGTCGCTCAAGGTTCACAACAAACTTTTCATGCCGACGGGATACCTCAAACACGGATCGGTGCAAATCTCCACATGGAATTGTTGTCCAAATTTTGCTATCCATAATTGAAGCATTAACCTTTTTTAGGACATCTGGGCATATTGCACAATGATTTTCCCTCATTTTTTCACCCTTTTCAAACATCTTTCTCATTCTCTGAGTACGTATATCCTCAATTAATGAAATAATTCCACCACCCCGATATTTAAAATTGAACTATTGAAACACTCAACTATGTTGCTCGTAATTGCAGTGTTCTTGACATGTGATTGAAATCCTGCTTTGCTCTACCTCTCCATACCAATGTTAGTTAAATGTTTCCAAGCCTCAAAACAAATCTGTTGCATTTGATTCATTTGAATATCATAATTGACGATGGTGGTGGCATTTACTGCTGCCCAAAAGATATTTCCAGTCTGCCTACCCTTCCATTTCTTCTGAAAATTTCGAAACAAGTGCAAAACACATAACCTGTTGTATTTTGATGGATAAACATCATCCAAAGCTGAATTAAGAGCCAGCCAATGAAAGTAATCAAAATCAAATTGTTAGAAATTAAAAACAACTGAATACGATTATGATTACTTCTTTGGAAAAATGATATAAATATTCAAAACACATACTTATTCATAATCTTACTACAATTTTAAAAAATACTTAATCAAAATCTTCATACAATTAAAAACAAAGTTATAAACAAAAGTACAAGGACTTACCAACCCTTGGTCTGAAATAAATGTCCATTTTTCCCCACAGGGAGAAATATCTCCTATGTCTTTCAATAAATTATGCAAAAACCAGGACCACGTATCTTTGGACTCTAAAGGAACTACACCAAAAGCTATAAGAAATAGACTGTTATTCCCATCTTGAGCTACAGCAGACAAAACTTGGCCCCGATGATATCCCTTTAGGAAGCATCCATCAATAGCAATCAACGGGCGACATCCCGATAAAAATCCCTTTTTACATGCATCAATGCATATAAAGTCTTTCAAATCGAGAAGGATTTCCTGGAGCTGAAATTTCAAAGGTAGTTCCAGGATTAGTTCTCAATAGTTCTTCTCGGTAATCCCATAATATTGCGTATTGGTCATCTTGATTGCCGTCGATAGAATGAAGGACTATAGAAGTCGGCTAACCCAATGTATCTATTTACGGTGTGCCTGGAGAGAATTCTACCAATTTCTGTCCTACCATACATCGATTCCTTTCCCCTGACGGAACGAGCGTAATGTAATTCTGCTCGCTTCGTTCCACTCGCTTTATCGGTACACAAACACAAAGGAATCAAAGAGCGCAGAAAGCTATTAAGATCATGTCTTATAATAGATTAGCTCATGCCGCTTTAGCGAGTTCAGCTAGGAAGGGGCTGGCCTTTCGTCTGCTATTCTGTAATCTCTTAGGCTAAATTGACCTCTTTCGTTCCTTTCCTGCTTTCCGGCTTAGTTCAGCATGCAACTCTGTATGCTTTAGATGTGCTAATTTTCACATTGAACTTCTCAGAAACATGGTCTTGCAACTCCAGTGCAGTCATATTCGGAAATTTACTCAAGTCTCCAGCCACTTTTTTGCTCAGCCATTTAGCATCTACGAACGTAGCTTTCATTCTTCCCTTCTTACAGTTATGTTCTTCATAGTATGTCTTCACCTCATAAGTTTCAAGATGACCAACTTTCGAGCAAAAAATTAGCAATGGACAATCATCCAAGCATTTAGCCCGACACCTTTTATTATCTTTCCCCGTAAACGACAACTCGTAGCCATTATGTACAGCATAACTTTTCACCATCTCATAAAAATCAACAATGGAAGAGAATTGTTGTCCCTATCGAAAAGTTATTTGTCCGTTCCCAACCTGATGACATTTTGATTGCACTTCGTTATCACTATATGAAGAATAAGAGTCCGAATC